GTTATGTCATGGTTAGTGAGATCATTTTTAAACAATCTTTTATTTATATGATCTCAAGATCTCATTTGATGCTTTGATTGAAGAATGTTTTTAGTTCTGTAGGCAGAATTTTTAGTTGTGTAGGCAGAATTTGTCTTATGACTACATTTGGACCTATAGGAGTTTTCATAGCAGATTTGTATTTTTATGTTATATTATGAAGAATTGGTGTGGCCTTAGAATGTATGCCATCATTGCAACACTCAGTACCATGGCATGGTCCTGTAAGCAATGGAGAAGGGCTGTGTGGATATGCTATCGGTTTTCTATTATGCCCGATAACTGCTTGCAGGCTTTGAAGGGCTGTGTGGGAGGGAGTAATGTATTATGCATCAGGGAGAGATTAATGTATGAATCATTGTGGGAGTAATGTATTTTGCTTCTATTATGGCAGATTCCAGGGATGGGATCCCTCATGGCAGCCCGTTGGTTTTCTATATATGCTGCTTTTTTTTTAATGCTTCGGGTAGGGAGTAATGTATGAATCAAAGCTTTGTACCTTCCTCTTTGGTGCTATAATAAAGTTGCTGGCCTCCTTTGCCGTGGATGTAGGTCATTTTGACCGAACCACGTTAAACTCTGTGTCTTTTTTTCATTTTTATGATCCCTTAAATTTTTTATTTTTATTGAATATGATGCAACACCCATGAATGATTCTCATGTTATAACTTCTAAATTATAGCATTGTTATGTTTCTTTTCTTTGCTATATCATAGTTTTAACTTGACTGGTAAGGCTAAAGAGCATGGTTCACCAGCACTATGGGAAAAAAGAAACCAAAATGTTGTTTTGCGACCTTTGTATAAAAGAAATACAATTGGGCAATAGACCAACAACGTTTTTCAATAAAGAAGGTTGGCTGAATATCATTAAACACTTTAAAGAGTCCACGGGACGGGAGTACGACAGGCTACAAATGAAAAACAAACGGGATCAATTGAAAAAAGATTGGAAAATTTGGAAGGATTTGAAACGTGGTTCAACTGGTTTGGGTTGGGATCCGATAAAGCGAATCATTGATGCCTCGGAAGAGTGGTGGACAAAAAGGATCGCGGTTAGTAACTTTAATTTTTTGAAAATATCCATAATATCTTTCTTTTTCAAGCTGTAGAACTGATTTGGGTTTTTTTTTTCAGGTGGTGCCCGCAGCGAAAAATTATAAAACTTGTGGAATTGAACCTGATTTGGAGGAGAAGTTAGACCTGATGTTCGGGGGTGTCGTCGCCACAGTATAAAACATGTGGAATTGAACCCGATTTGGAGGAGAAGTTAGACCTGATGTTCGGGGGTGTCGTCGCCACAGGAAAATATGCATGCGCTCCCAGTGAGGTAGGATTTGGTAAAACACAGGACAATGTTGCTGTTAGCTTATCAGATGATTCACCTAATTTCCCAAGTCCTGGTCCCACTGAGATTCAATCCACAAACCGCTCGAAGCGATCTAGGTTCGAGAGTAAAAAAAAGGATGGAGCTGCTTTTATCAGAAACCAGATATAATGCCTTATGGATTCTTCTAACGATGCCCCGCATAAAGTGCAGAAAACGCCAATTAATGAGGTTGTGGCAACTTTAGAGCAGGATCCGAGTATTGCAGCAGATGATGAGCTTTACTACTTTCCTGTTGAGCTGCTTCAAGATTCATTTCAGAGAGATTTTTTCACAGCAATTGCCAAAGAGCGAAGGGTGTCGTATCTACGACATTTCTTTGAGCGCAGGAAAATTTGAATGGAGTTTTATAGTATTTGCTATGTGCTTATTTGAACAGTTTATGAGAAGACATGGTTATTTGAACTATTGTTGATTGAGACATTTAAGTTTAATTTGTTATTCACATATAACTATCTTAATGAAAACTGCGAAACTCTAATCTGTTGGTAAAAATTCCTTAGAAGTCAATAACTCTGATCTACACTAACTGCTTGTGTTAGTACTTCCTTTCATAGTGATGATTAGCTTAATAATTTATTTTTCTTTGTCATAATATGTCCAGTATACATCATTATGGACCCAAGTCATGTACGTCGTCGAAGGAGAAACGTAGCTATCAACTTGCTCGTAGAGTACTACAACACATACATCGACCGTTCTCCCTGTTACACATCATCACATTTTGGAGACAAATGGGTTGCGGAAATGCTTGCTGGACATCCCACAAGATTTCACAACATGTTCCGCATGACACAGGAGGTTTTTACAGTTCTTTTAGCAGAACTCATTGGATCTCATGGCCTCCATGGGTC